TGTCAGCACAAGTACGTAGGCAATACGTCGCATAAACGGCGGATGGTCGCATTTGGATCGCGTTCCATTACGAAGCATCGCGTTTTATTCGCGAAAACGTCGGATCGTCGCGGTGCTGAAAAGTGTTGCTCGCTTAAACGCCCAATGTGCAAATGACTGAAAAGCTACTAAATACCGACCTTAAAAAAACTTATCAGCGATGTAGCGCCGACGTACATGTGCTGACTGGGATGTGACTGATCGCCCGAACGAAAAAATTATTGCAATTTGAAAACCAATATTATCAATTGAACAAATTCAAGTACACGGATATTTTTCAAAAACAAATTTCCATGACTTTTCCAAAACTTTGAGTTTATTCATTTTCCAAAACTTTTCCAGGCCTGGAAATTGCCATTTTAAAATTCCATGACTTTTCCAGGTTTTTCATGACCGTACGAACCCTGCCATAACCATAAGTAACCTAACAAAATACAAGAGTTTTTGCATTTTTAGTTTTTTCATAGCAGTCACCGATTTTTATAAAATAGAGTTTTCCCTTATGGGGACCAGGAAACCGGTCCCCATAAGGAAAAAAAACAGATATTTATCACGTTATGGGGACATTATGTCCCCATAAGGATAGGTAAACCTGTTCGCACACACCCACACACACCCACACACACACACACACACACCCTCAAAAGTGAACATAAACACACAGAACACACATGGGGCACAGAGACACACAGGATATTCTCACTGACCTGAAACCCTGCATCACAAAACAAACGTAGATAAAAATAAAACGGCCTAGGGCCAGATTCCCAAGCCTCTATGGAGTGTCTGGTTAAGCAAGCCCTTGTCCACCCAGATGGGGGAACGATGACATTGCAGTACATGTTTCCTTTTACGTCACCCTGGTGCGTGTGTCTGTCAGCTGATACACTGCCATCCCACGGCAGGCATCTGTACCAGCTCCATTCCAGTGCAGGTGCCCCACGTCAGACTGACATCTTCACAATGGGGGTGTCTTCATTAGCGAAAGTCCCCCAGATGGCAGGGTGAGAATTAAATTCGAATATTACTTCTACTGCTTAAACTAAAATCTGATCCCCTTGACAGCTGTGATACACCCTCTGGTCATATAATGACTTAATCCAGAAGCAACGGCCATATCACCCTTCATCCAATCTCCTGCCCATGGTACCAACACAACCAATGAAAGCCTCTGATACTTTATGTTTCTAACATTGAAAATGCGAGAAGTTCCTGTGCAAATGTGGAAGTTACAATCCATCTGTTTATATCATTGCTGCCAGAATGTGACAAACACTGTCAGCCAGCCATGAGAGAGCGCATCAGACATTCCTACTGCCAGTTGCAACTGCTAGTTTACCTTTTTATCTTATAAGAACAAATTTCTGAGTTTCTAAAATCTCACATCCCTTGATTTAGCTGAGGCACAATACAAAAGAATATAATCTACGTCCCATTAGTAGCTGGGTCCCACGTGGCTACAAACAAAGCTAAAAGATTCTAAAACTAACACCCGGCTGTTAAAACAATGATAATTAAAGAGTCTTATGTGCCTAAACTCAGACAAACCATGTGCTTCTTCTCAGGGCATTTAAATATTAAAGACCTGATCACAATCCTGACTGGGCAGTCAATTTTTTCTAAAATCAGATTTTAAATGTCACACAATGCATTAGAATATATTCAAATACCTGTGCCCCCCCCCTCCCCACCAAAAAAAAAATAAAAATCCACAACATTTGCACATTTGCATATCTACCAAGACTGAAGTGTAGCAAAAATCACATGTAAAACAACCAGTTGAAAGGTCCGCCTGTGTTGTAACTGATGACTTGTCTGTATTTACAACGATTGGCGCAAACTTAGACTTAGTTAGACTTCGTATTAATGGCTAAAAAGCCTATGTAGGCATTCACAGATCCATGCATGCATTCACAGATCCATGCATGCATTCACAGATGTCTACCCCCACACGTATACCTGTATACTCCAAGTCGACCCTCCTGCCGCACATACACCTTAATGCACCAAATTGACCGTTCTGCTGCATGTAAACTTTAATTCTCCAAACTGAGCTCTTATGCATGTATACCTTCATACTCTAAACAGGGCCTAATCCCACACGTATACTCAGCTTTACATTCCATGTCCATAAGAGTACTTCTGAAGCACACCCAATGAATTCCCAAACCATCATAACCGCCCTCCAAAGCTCACCTTCGCAATTCAAGTTGTGGAAGCCCCATCCTTCCCCTTACCTGCGCCTGCAGCTCCTGCATGGTCCCTTGGCTCTCCTGCAGGCGGGTCTGGATCCCACTCCTCTCCTGAAGCAGCCGATTTTTTTCCTGTGTAAGCTGCTCCAGGGCCTGCTGTAGCTGCCCAGCAGACTGGGCGGCCTGAACACAGCAGGGTGAAGGTTGTGTTAATAAAACATTCACAGGAGGGACATGGTGCTGCACACTAGAGATGAGCCCTTGATTGGCGCCCCGAGCTCTAAATGCATAATTTCTCCCATTTTGCAAATCTCTCTCAATATGACAAGATAAATATTTTAAAATATCCAAGACCATAATCTATATTTAGATTCATGTCAAAGCATCCGCTTCATTTCACAAACAGACTTACTTAAAACATTAAATCATAATTTTCAGAAGCATCAATTTTATACTTTTCATCCTGTTTCTAAATGGGTCATTAATCGCATTTATTTCCTCAGAAGCAAAATTATTATTATAGTTCAATAAAATATTAAAATCTGTGTATCAATTAACCCACAATCTAGGCAGTTCATACCATCCATTAGCATAAAGCAAGCAGATTAATGTGGTTAGTAAAAGTAAAAAAAAAAAAACAAAAAAAAAAAAACTGGAAATTAATGTTGGGAGGAACACACATGCAACAGTAGTGCAAGGTCACTCAAGCCATTCGGCAACAAGGTTAGTGGGATGGTTAGTTACGTGTACCTCAAGCTGCTGGGACAGAGCGTTTTTGTGCAGGGCTTCGAGATGCATGACTTTCTGGGCAGCTTGGTCCCTCTCCCTGACCAGGGTCTCCCTTTCGCCCTGTAAGGCACTCAGGCTAGCAGAGATTTCAGCCTGGGCTCGGCCAGAGGCGTCTGCCTTTTCCAGGGATGCCCGCTGCTTCTCCTCCAGCGAGGCCTTCTCAACCCGAAGCGTGGCAAGCTCTGCCTCCAGCGCCAACAAGGTGGCCTGCTGGGCTTTAGCCTCCTGCCGGAGCCTTAAGCTCTCAGCAGCACTCGCCTCCTGACCATTGAGAAAGGACTCCATCTCTTGCTCGAGCTTGGATTTGGCATCCAGGAGGTTTACTTTCTCCTTGGCCATAGAGGCAGTTTCTCTACCCACCTCTTCTAACTTAGCAGCAATGCTTGCTTTCTCAGCAACCAGGTTCTCTTTTTCTAGACTGATCTGCTTCAGCTGAAACCTCAGGGTCTCTGCCTCTTGGATAAAGGCAATGGCCTTGCCTTGCTCCTCCTTCAGGCTGATGGCCAGAGTGCACAGCTCTCCCTGAAGGTCTGTCACTTTTCTGTCCTGGACGTCCTTAGCTACAGCCAGCTTCTTTATTTCACTGGCACTGTCCTGTAGCTGAAGTTCCACATGCTGTTTTACTCCTGAGAGACTTTCATTCTGAGCAGAGATGTCCTGCATCCGAGCTAAAAGTTTCTTTTTCTCCTTTTCTAGCTCCTGCAGACCCCGGATCAAGTCAGTCTCCCTAAGAACAAGGCAGTCTCTCTCTGCCTTCAAGGTCTCCCTTTCCTGCACCACCTCCATCTGTACATAATCAGAGTCATCCTTCAGTTTCTGTAATTTCTCTATCAGATCAGCTTTCTCTCCCTCAAGGGCTTCCTTATGGGAGCACTGTATCTGCAGCTGGACTTGCAGATCTGATTTTTCCTGCTCCATCATAGATTTCTCAGCACCCACCGTCATCATGCTACTTTTCATTTCCTCTAGCATGGCTGTTAAAACGACCTTGTCCTCCAGGAGGTTTTCATTCATTCTGCAAGAGTTCTCCAGCTGCTCCTTTATGAAATGGACATCATCTGCCAGTTTGTCCTTTTCCTTTGCAAGAGCCTCCTTCTCAGATATTTCCCTTTCATGCTTTTCTATCAGATCTCCCTTGTCCTTCTCCAAACAGAGCTTCTCACTCACATGCTGCTGCACTGCAAGGTCAAGGGCTGCTTTCTCAGCTTGGAGGCCAATAAGTTGCTTCTCTGCTTCCTGTAGCTTGCTGTTGAGTGCCTGCTTCTCCTGGCTCAGGGATGTGACCTCTTGCTGGGACTTCTCTAAGGCAGCGGCTGAGAGGCAGAGCTTCTCAGACAGCTCTTCTTTCTCCCTGAGGATCTCAGCCCTCTCCATACATACCTTCCTCTGATGAGCCAACAAGTCTTCCTTCTCCTGCAAAAGGTGGAGTCTTTCAGAGTCAGTGATCTCCCTGCTGGTTTTAATTTCCTCTAGCATCTTGGCCAGGCTGTTTTTAGAGGCCTGCAACTCAGTATTGTCATAAAGAGACTTCTCCAGGTCTTTCTTGGTAGCATGCAGTTGATTTTGAAGATCTCTTTTTTCCACTCCAAGAGCTTCCTTGTCAGAAACAGATGACTGAAGCTGTTCAAGAATCTCAGCTTTTTCCTTCTCAAGAGTATTAGCCTCTGCATGCAGCTGAGCATTTCTTGCGTAAAGATCCTCTTTCTCCATGTTAAGTGAAGCCCATCTGGCCTCTAGCTCAGTGTTCTTGGTACTTAAGCTGGTGTTCTCCTCTCTGACCAAGTCTATTGCAACTGCCAGCTTCTCCTGCTCAGATGTCAGTTTCTCTTTGCTTTGCTTCAGTTCCTCCTGGATGCTTTCTTTTTCCTCAAAAATCTTCTCGTAGTCCTTCATGAGTTGTTTCCTGTTATTCTCCTGGTTTTGGATCTCCTGTTGGTACTTTAGAAGATCTTCCTGCCTCTCAGCATTTATCTTGCGAAGCTCCTCCAATTGGCCCATGTATTCTGCTTCAGTATCCTGAAACCTCTTGTTGGCCAGTTCCACATCTTTTATACGGACACTAAGCTCCTCGACGGCCTGGGAAAGGGTCTCCTTCTCCAAACACAATGCGGCTGTTTCCTTGTGCAGCTCCTGATTCTTGGAGTGAAGCGCTTCTTTCTGTAGGAGAACCTGCCTATTAAGCTGCATTAGTTCCTCAGATCTCAACAGAAGTTCTGTGCGGCTGGATCCCAGTGTAGAGAGATTCACGGCGGCATCAGAGAGCTGTGTCTCAAGGGCCTCTCTCAGAGCTCCAGATTCAGCGATCTCTCTAGACGCTCTCTCTAATTCTAATGTCTGAACCTCCAACTGTGCACCTAACTGCTCAGCTTCCTGCTTGGAGGAGGCTAGCTCGACAACAAGGGACTACAGGGGTAAAGTGAAAGGAAACAGGGGAAGGGAAAGGTCAAATCGAAAAAAAATGAAGTCAGGGAAACCAATAAAACAACAAAAAAGTACCATACACCGGGCAAGTTTAAAGACAAGCAAGCCAAAACAAGGGGGCAGGGTGGTACATATCAACTAGGAACAGAACACCAAACCACATACAAGTAATATTATCTGACCAACAAAACTAATGGACATGGTGAGCTTGTAACTGGATGAGGATGATGACGATTACTTGTCAACCTGATGACAGAATGAATAATGTAAGAGTGCCAACAAAATGTAACTGGGACTAAATCAGGAAGGTACGGATTGCCTAGATTTGGTGTTGCAACTGAGATTTCACTAAGAATTACTGCTGCATATCAACCAATTCGTTAGTAAGAACAGGAAAGGTCTGATAAAATCGACTGAAAAATTTCTCATTAAAGCCAATCAAACTGATCTACAGATTAAGAAATGCACACGTCAGATTTTCCTAGTACAATTGTAAAGTTAAGCAATGTCCTCTACACCTTTCTTATCTGGTAAAGCAAATCAAATGTTTAAATGTAGGAAAGCAAAATGATGCATAACTGAGGTGATGGAGAGTAAATACCAAATCACATCTGTGTTGCCGAATTAATCTTCTGGCAAAAAGAAGCCAAAAACACACAGTCCCACCCCGATCTTAGGTACATACGCTTGCCTGTTGTGCTATTTGTATTCAGCTCCATGACATAATCGACGTGTGAGTGCTTGCATATGAAACTCCAATCCTCACTACAATCACTCCATTACTTTAACTTATCATCAACAGCTCACCTGGGCCTGTTCTTTGTAGGACTTCAGCTCAAGCACCTGCTGTTCTAGGTCCACAGTGCGGCCTTGTGTTGTACCAAGCTCCAGCTCGACCGCCTCCAGCTTGGCATGAAGATCCTGGAGTTGCTGGTTGTGTTGCTCTGTCTGCTTCTTTAGGGAGATGGCTTGGGAGGCCTGGAGCTCCTCGTTCTGGGCCTGCACCTGTTTCATGCTCGCCTCCTGAAAGGGCATATTCGGGTGGGGGGTTAGAGCTGAGGAGATGGTTCAAGAACCCTTTCTGTTTAAGAAATTCCTAAGGTGGGAATTTTATTACAGCAAATGTAACCATATCTCATCAACAAGCAATTATATTTTATAATCAGTGCTGGGTCAGCAAAATTTGATTCCAAGAAACTAAAGCCAGACAGAGTACAACAAGCTGATACATTTTAGTAGGCCTGTCACGATAACTAAGAGACTAAACAAGAATGATATATTATACCTGTGGCACAGGGATATAGTCATTTGTTGCTTTACAGGCAATATACTGCCAAGCTAGTTTTGTGGAGACTCCACTCAGTGATATGAACAAACCTTGATCTTTAATTGGCCAGGAGAAAAATTACGGATGGGCCGATCCACTTTTTTCAGTCCCGATCTGATTCTGATACACAACCGCCGATACCGATACAAGAGCGCTTTTCACTTTTCACCATTTGTACATCTTATTTTAAGCAGTTCAATCTGAGTATTTTACAGGTGTGTATAGGCAGGTGGCGAATACTGCGATTGCAGCTCCTCATGTTTCATAAGCTGTATCAAGTGTGCAAAACAGCCCAAACAAGCGACTCCCAAATCATCCATTGCTTTTATCATATTACTTGCATTTTCTTGCAGTTGCCCGCACTTTTAGTGGGTTTTCCCACTGAATGCTACCTCCACCTCTCAAAACTTTGTTTTTACTAAGATTGCAATGGCAATTAGACTGAATGGCAGCGTTAGTGTTCAGCTTGCATGCAGCAAAAAACACATCTAAAATGGGAAAGAACTGTAATGTGATTGATTGTACAAATCGTTTTAACAAGAAATAGGAGCTACCTTTTCACAGATTGCCGAACACTAAATAAGTATTGCACATGGATGGGTCACATATGGCCGACACCCATGGGCGTCGCCGCCATTAAAGCTCGTTTGGATCCCCCCACATTTAACATAAAATATTAGTTTTATGCCAGTATGTCCCCCCCACATTCAAAATGCTTCTGACGCCCCTGCCGACACCAAATTTCAATTCAATTCAATTCAATAGGTTTATTTCACTTGGCATCTTTTCATTCATTATTACTTCACAAACATCAAATAGAAACAGTCAAGTGAAAAAATTTGTCTAATAGGTATGGATTGGTGCCAATACCAATCCAAATATCGGATCAGTGCATCTCTAAGAAAAACGACAGGAAATCATAAAGTAGTCGGACCAAAGATTCTACACAAACACCAATCCTACCTTGTGTTATTAGAATAACAAAAACGGCTAGCAGATCTGAAAAAAGACTGACTGAGAAAGTCTGGAAATACCAGCAGTAATAGGAATCTCTGCTATGGGATAAAGATGTCAAGATGGCTACAAACTAAAATAAAATACGCTTGTAATGCAATTGGCATATAGCCGTGCATGTTTTTGCGACAGTGTTACCGGCTCTATTTTTTTTTAGTTTTTATATTATTTTTCATTTCCATTTAAAATCTAGTTTGAGATGTGGTTTCATTAGTTTTTTTAAAGATGTAAATCTATTTCGTTTATATATATTTTACATGATGTTTTAGAATTTTTATAGGGATAGACAAAGTTGTAGGACTTTGCTAAGTACTACAAAATGTCACATTCTAGTGCCTGCTGCTATTTCTATGGTTCATTGCATGAGGAAATCAAAGAAACAAATCATTACATTAGCAAAACAGTATTTAAAAACGGTAAAGGAAAGTTTGATATTTGTTTATTTTACCTCAGACGGTTTTGAAACCAATAGTTTGTGTCATTTTTTTTAATTTAACCCGACCTCGGATAAGCGGGAGATAATGGATGGATGGATGAATTTTATTTATTTATTTTATTATTTTATTTAGTCTTATGGAAACATTTTCGTTACCAATTTTAACCCTGCCGTGCATACTTTATGCACACAGTTAGGGCACTGTTTATTCTAATAATATCCATACCACACTTCATAAACGTGACTTTTAAAAGCAGCTTTGCCTGGCGCATGGATGTTGGAAGTATAAACATTCAGAAATGCGGACGATCTGGCACAGCATCATGTGCGCTGCTGCACTCACACTTTCATGTGAAATACGAATCAACCCGGAACCACGCTTGCGACACAGAAAGCAACTGGCCATAATGTTGGGGGCATTCATATGTAAATTCTTATGTAAATACGATTTGCCAATATTAAGGTTAGAAAAAAAAATTCAGGTTTTGTCCATATATCGTGCGACAAGTGAAGAGCATAATTATTGTGACAGGCCTGCAAAAATGAGGAAGAAACAGGGGGGAAATTATACAGGGCACCAAACACGACACTGAGCCTAAACCCCTTAAGAGGCAACATCGAATCAGCTCATATACTAATGTGCATGACCAGCACTTATTTATTTCAGGCTGCATTGTTCTGGCTGGAACGACCACAGGGGCCAGTTGAGGCCACAGCACCGCGCTCACCAGCTGGGCCAGCTGCTGACTCCGTCCCTGCAGCTCAGCCTGGTGCTTCCCCTCTGCCTCCCGCAGCTGTTGGGCCACCCGCTCCTCACTCTGTCGCCGACTCTCTTCCAGGTATGCTGCTTGCTCCTTGGCCTCAGAAAGCTGGGCTTGCAGCTCCTCCACGCACCTGGAATGGGGGGTGGAGGTGACCAGGAGGGCTTTTCAGCAAGCCAGCACTACTCATTGAGGCCCATTTGGAACAAAACAGAACAAAGTTACACAGGCGAACTCCACTTTCAACTACAGCATTTGGGGATGCAAAACAAATGCTACACTGATTGTAATTATTCAGATCAATCACAATAAAATCAGTTCAAATGTAGGTAAAAGTGCAACCAGCCAGAAGTTAAACTGAAGCACTTTGAGTCTGAAAATTAAAAACATATATATTTACAGAGCAGACCCATGTGCTTCCACAACAGAATGATAATACATTCAAGGTTCATGTAAGCATCTTTATCTGGACACCTGGCAAGTACAAGTAAGCTAATTCTTTTTAGCAGCAAGACATAATGGAGGGAAGCCAGACTTGAGGGCAGAACTCACCTCTCTCTCTGGTTGAGCTCATTGTTCATCTTGGTTAGCTGGGCGGAGCTGTCTCCCGACAACTTCATCATGTCTGCCATGTCGCTCTCCAGCTTGGCCTTGTCTGCAGTCAGCCTGTCCAGTTTCTCCTCTGCTGCCTTCATCTTCCTGCCCATCCCTGCAATTACAGAATGTTTTCTGAGGACTGAAATTTGGTCTCAAACAAAATACAGTGGTACCTCAGTTCTCGAACTCACCAGAACTCGAATTTCTTAAAAGCCGAACCAACCAGTTCGAAAAAAAAATACCTAGAACTCGATCTGAATCTCAGAAGTCAAACCGTGAACGCCAACCTAAGATAACTTGTATGCGCGGGGAAATGAGTCACGCGGCACGTCTCTCAGCGGAAACAAAGGGTAACCCTTCAGTCTCAGCCTGGCACTGAGATTTGTTTTCCTTCGCGTCGTCTGAAAATTGTCCATTTATCAATATGTTTTTTTCCCCCTACATAAAGCTGACACCCAAGCTTAGCATAGACAGGAGTTTACTGACAGTCTTTAGAGACAGAGCTGCTGGTTTATGCACTAGATCCAACATTATCCATACATCTGCAACTACAATCAATCAACACTAAAGATACTACTTCTCACTGGATCCTTTTCAAATTCATCACTTTGTGATATTTCATTTTAGTCTCATTTTTATTTTTTGACAAGTGTCAGTACATTTCATCATAGTTTTTAGCATCATAAATTAATTTTTATTTTGCCCTCGACAATAGTAAAAATCTTTGTTGAAGAATAATTCCGTTGATGAAAACTGGCATAAATGAACAATGGTTACTGCCACTAAAAACCCACACATTTACATCATTATGTGTAGAATTGGTATTAACTGGATAACAGACAGGTCAGGCAGCTCCGCTGGGGACCCTTGACCTGGGGTATGTATGAAACTAGGGGTATGGAAATACGTGGGGGACAAATAACATCTCATAAAATGGTACAGAAATATTAGCGTTTCACAATCCATTTGGAAACACTGTGTCTGTCAGTTGAAGTACATCAATATGAAGGCAGAATATTCTTGGTCATTGCCATCTTAGCACTCTTCTACTAACAAACTATTTTTTTTTACCTGACCAGTCACTTAGCCTAAATGATTTGCCTGCTAGGTGTGTTGACAAAGCAGATGCTACTTGAATTTAGTCTGATGGTGATATATTTGTATATGCATATATCTGTACAATACAATTCTTCTATAATTATTTACAAGTTTTGAATTGTAACATTTATAGCTAGACGTACAGCAAATGTTAAGGTTTTGTTTTGTTAGATGTTTTGCCATGTAGAGGCAAGCAGCCCTGCAGAGAAGGTAGCTGGAAAAGCGCATAAAAACACTTAAGTCAGTGACAGAATGCGCTTAAGCGTTTCTCCAGCAAAAATGCATATCTGGCCTAAGTGCACATAAACCCAGGCTTAAGTTGATAGTGGAATATGCTTAAGTGGAAAAAGTGCATGGCTAAATGCTTACACTTACATTGGTAGGCCCGAGTGCATATCGCACATAGCCAAACAATGACTAATAGGGAGAAAAGTAGCGTTGACTTCCAGCACTACACACATCTCCTTTATAAACCATGTATTATTGCACGACAATGGCATGGCAAGTGAGACGAATGATAAAAATGTAAACATCAACCTATTTGAAGAAGAGGCACCACTGACCGGCCTGCTGGCTCTTAAGGGTCTCCGTCTCTGTCAAAAGGGCGGTGAACTGAGCCTCTTTCTCACCAAGCTTCTCCAAGGTTTCTTCAAAACAAAAGGGGAAATAAATCAGACTTAAGATCATTTACAAATTTAAAGTTTTAGACATTGCAGCTGTAATTATGGCCAAATTAATATTTCATTTGGGTAGAAGTCAAATCTTATAATTATCCAGTTAGCCATTTTATCAAATACTTTAAATTTAATACAACACTTGCCTTGCAGGATTTGGGCAGTTTTACTCTGTTCTGCTGTTGAACCATCAAGGTTTTGCTTCTGGAAAAAAAAAATTGAAGTTAAAATTAACAAAAACTGTTAAGAGAACCAAGACAGGAAATCCAAACAGCTTAGAGTGAAATGCACTAATTCAGGACAAAAAGCTCCCTCTGGTGGAAATACATCAGAACTGAATTCAGGAGAGCACAGAGTTTGATATCACTGGTCAACATACACTTTGTCACAGAAGAGTTAATGGGTATTTCATGTACTTTTTAATGCTATCACCCATAGTTTTTGAGCAATTCAATTTGTAGGCTATACTGGTCGTATGCAACTAATTATTGAGAATGTAAGGGTATAACAATTTAGGAAAATTTTTATTTCTGTTTGTGATCCTTTTTAAAACATGACAGAAGGACCTGAAGTACTGTAAGTATATACTACCAGTCAAAAGTTTCAACACACCTTCTCATTCAGTGGTTTTTCTTTATTTTTATTGTTTTCTAAATAGTAGATTAATAATGAAGACTTCAAAACAAATGAAGAAACGTGGAATTATGCAGCAAAAAAAAAAAAATGTTAAATGAACCAGAATGTTTTCTATTTCAAATTCTTCAAAGTAGCCACCTTTTGCATTGATGACAGCCTTGCACACTCTTGGTATTCTCTCAATCAGATTTATCAGTCATTGGAATGGTTTTCAATGAACAGGAGCGCCTTGTCCAGAGTTAATTGGAATGTCTTGCCTTCTTAATATGTTTGAGACCATCATTTGTGTTGAGACAGGGTTGGTACATAGTTCTACACAGTGAATAGGCCTATTCAACTACTGCTCTACTCCACATTATGGCAAGAACCACTCAACCAAGAGAAACGACAGTCCATCATTACTTTAAGACATAAAAGTCAGTCAATCCAGAAAATTGCAAAAATTTTGAATGCTTCCTTAAGTGCAGTTCTGAAAACCATCAAATGATGAACTTGGTTCTTTCTCATGCCCCAGGAAAGGAAGACCAAGAGTTAATGAACATTCAAGGCACACTTAACCAGCATGGCTACCACAGCATTCTGCAGCGACATGCCATCCCATCTGCTCTGCGCTTTAATGTACTATGTAGAAAACAATAACAATAAAGAAAAACCATTGAATGAGAAGGTGTGTCTAAACATTTGACGGGTAGTGTATTTTGCCAGGCTATAACATGTTTGGACATGTTGAGACAGCATCCTGTTCTCTCTCTGACATGGAAAAACGATATCAAGACAAATAGAGCCCCAGTATGATTGCTGACGTCTGCTAGACCCTTAAGAGGAATGTTCCTGAGGCCAAGTATAGCAGAAAATCATACACTTCTGCCTTTTAGACGAGTCACTTCCACCATGCCCAGATGCATATAAGCCTAAAGTTTAATTGCAAGTCACTCAAATTCCTTGCATAATAGGGAATTATGATTAGATATTTGAATTCAGCACATAAAATCCTGTAAAATTCACCTTTTTCTATTCATGTGACAAGAAAGTAAAAATTTGTTGATCAATGTATCAGTTCATCAGGTCTTGCTTTGGATGGAAAAAAAATACTTAAGAACATAAGAAATTTACAAACGAGAGGAGGCCATTCGGCCCATCATGCTTGTTTGGGGAGAACTTAACTAATAGCTCAGAGTTGTTAAAATCTTATCTAGCTCTGATTTAAAGGAACTCATGGTTTTAGCTTCCGCTACACTAGCAGGAAGAAGTGCTTCCTCAAATTTCTTTTAAAATGTTCCACTTATGGCCACGAGTTCTAGTATTTAGACTAATATTGAAATAGTCATTTGGCTGAACAGCATCCAGACCCGTTAGAATCTTATACTGTAGACCTGAATCATATCCCCCCTTAGTCTCCTTTGCTCAAGGCTAAACAGATTCAGTTCCGCTAACCTCTCCTCATAAGACACTTTGCCATTTACTTCACAGCTTAACTGTATGAATGGCAAGTACATGCTGATCATTCATTATAAAAGCACATTTTTTAGATGCTTGAAGAATCCCATCAATCCAGCTGCTGCTGAAACCAGTCCCTGATTCTACAGTAGATCTCACCTGAGTCTATTTATTACTCAAATTGAGAATCACTTACAAATGAAGTTATAAGCCAGTCCCCCATGACTTGGGCTTTAAGTCTTGTCATCCTACCACTTACCAGGTTACCCAGCTGCTGCTCCAAAGAGAATCTCTCTTTATCAGTGGCTGCCAGCTTCTCCTTGAGGGACAGCATCTCCTGCTGCCTGCCCTCCAGTTCTCTGACCAGGTCTGTGACCTGCGGCGTATGTGGCCGCCATGGGATCATGGGAAAGGTGAAGGGGAAACCACCATGGGATGAGTATGAATAACAAACTAACAAAACAATGACTAAGTTAACTATGAAATTAAAAAAGAAGCAAGATTAAATATGTGGCATAATGGATAGAAAAACTAAAAGGATGCAAAAGAAACATAAGGAACATCAACGTATGGGGCGGAAATGAAAACACAATGAGCCTGGACCCACCTTGGCAGACTGCGAGTGGGATGTGGCTTCAGCTGCCTCCACACTGGCCCTCAGTTTCTGAACTTCCTGGTTACCTTGAACCTCCTGGGCATGCAGGGCTTCCCTGGACTCCCTAACCTGCTCCCTCAGAGCCTGCAGCTCAGAGACCTGCTGCTCATACTGGCCCTCCAAGTCCTCTAGCTCCTTTACCTTCACTTCAGCAGCATGAAGCTTGCCCAGGACGTCCTCCATCTCCACCAGGTGCTGTTCTTCAGCACTCTCCAGGCTGCTGCGGAGTGACTCTGCCAGCCTCTCCTTCTCTTCTGAGGTATGCATCAACTGGCCATGCAGATCCTCTATCTCACGGGACCTGGATGTTCCCTCAGCCTCCTTCCTGGACTTAAGCTCTTCCAATTGCAAACTGTGCTCCATCTTCAGCCTCTCTATGGCACTCTTCAGTTCCACCAGCTCAGCAGACTGAGCTCCTGCATCCTTGCCAAAGGACACCTTCAAGTCTTCGATGGTCTGCTGGTTGGAGACAATGGCCGACTCGAGTTTGGTCCGCCACAGTTGGACGACATCCGCATTCTCCTTTTCAGCTTGGCTAAGGCGACCCTGAAGCAGCTCATTTTCCTGGGAGAGCTGGTCACTGTTGGCCTTCAGCTGGGCACGCTCTTCCTGCCAGGCCTTCTCACTGGCCTCCAAGCGTTCCCTCAGGACAGCTAGCTCGTGCTGGTGCTCCGCACCCTGTGCTGCCAGCTGAGCCTTCAGCAAGCTGAGCTCCTCTGAGCCAGAGGGCACAAAGTGGCCGGCCTCCACCCCCCGTGACGACTCCAGGCACATGCGCAGGTCAGCCACCTCCTTGGCTCGTAGGGATAAGTCTCTCTCCAGCTCCATTATACGAGATTTCTCAGAAACCGTTGCTACCTACAACACGGCAAAATTTGCATTGAAAACAAAATGAAGCCCCCGCGATGGGCTATGGTAAATAGGATGGAGCAGGGTCCACTGAGCAAAGATTCCCTTGTTTGAGGATACTGTAAGGCCATTTCAGGACTACAGCAGGCCCTAAAAACACCCAAGGGAATGCAGAGAACAGTACAGTCTCCCCAAGAATGGCCTGATCAGAAAACAGCACACAAGGACAGGGTGCCTGGAGCCACAGCTACAGAGATGTGTGTCATGGCCCACAACCATGTGCAGATTGTATTCAGGAGATCTACCCTCCCCCCCCAACAAAAGCAGCTGAGCATTAAAGGTAAGGAATGTGGCTTGAGCATGGCATAGGAATAAGAAGCCCAAGTAAGCAGGAGAGCCAGGGAAAAGCAGATGGGGATGAAAGGCTATCCAGGACTGTCAGTGAAGGTTTGCGACAACTTAGGGCAACCTGGGGTGAACTAGGGCAGAATGAGAATGAGCAGTGCACAGCTGGCAAGACCAGCAGAACATAGCTGCCAACCTCAGACAACCCCAATCCAATCCGTACACCCACCCGAATAGCCACAAGGTTACAGAGAAAGGTCTGTTTAGGACTGTTTAGTCCTGGAATGGCCCTTTGACCATGTTAGCTCAAGGTAATGGCAGATGTTATTGGTTAAAGAAGTTTCCTCGGTCAGCTATTTAATAAATTGGCTGACTTCAGTGTTATGTATTTGCCAAAAACAAAACCCCGTCAAGTTGTTTTCATCCACCTTGTATCTCTCATTGCAGTTTACAAAAATCAAACTGAGAATCCACTGAATATGTGAATCCAAAAACTTCTACATAATATTGCTGCTAAGTTCAAAGTTAACTTATTAACTTAAAAGTTAATTTATTCTTTTCATTAACCCAAAGTGCTTCAACTTAACACCACATGGGTACACAACACACTTTTCCACCTTTGGAAGGTGTATTTGTTGGTAAAAATCAGGACACAAGTATTCCCAAAGGCGCAGGCAAAGGGCTGCTGGTTTCCTCGACTGACACTTTACGGAACGGGATCCATTACCCTAGTGTCTTCTAACTCTCTCTGGAGTTTGTCAGCTTTGGTCTTTTCAAAGAGCAGGCTCTGTTCGAGTTCCTTAATGTGGGCATGCTCCAGTTTGGTCTGCGTCTGTTAGTAAAGAAGGGAGAGGAACAGAACACACCAATGCCACCATCACATGCCAGCCAGACTGCTGCAAGGGAGCTTCATGCAGGCCGTGCCAGCAGCACCATCCACCAGTGAGGAGAGAAGGGATGGAGGGGCAGGTGGGTAAGTGAGGCGGAAGGGTTGGGGTTCGGGAGGGACGGAGATGGAAAATGATAATGGAAATCAAGTTGTTGTGATTAGAGCATAACTGTGAGTGGGAGGTGTTCAGGTCAAAAGAACCATGCAGAACCAAGCTTTAAAATTATGAATGATCCCAAAACAAACAGAAAGTGAAGGAGTGCATGAGTGAATGTAACACAAAAGGACTTCGACCAGTCTGTCAGGTGAGGTACTGAATGTTTGAAAGGGATTGAGAGGGGCTTTTGCATGATGCTGCACTGCAGCAACATGAAAAGGCTACAACAAATTGCGGGACACCACCCCATTTTAGCAGCACGATTAGAGTCATTGTATCACCATTTACAACAAAGTAGGAGAGTTAATACAGAAACTATATTACCATAGACCCCAGAATAACTTGAGATAATGCAGAAGAGAAGTTAGTATGAATGATTTCAATAAAATCGGAATGTAAAAATTTCAAAATAAAAGCCAACAGGGGGTATGTGATGGAGGCGTGCGGCCATACTTGGCGATGCACACTCAACATGGCCACTGCCAGTCAACATGGTGGACAAGTGAAAGGGCATTAATGGCAGAAAACCTTCATTTTTGGGCTTACAGTAAAACATTGCATTGTCACTGTTATTGTTTCACACACAAAGCATTTGATGTTCCGTTATGTCTTATCTTTCAGCAGAGGGCACATGCAGGCAAACAACTGAGGCTTAGAGTGTTGTTAGTGCTGCAATTACCAATTAAGGAAAAAGAAAATCAAGTAAAATCAATAAAATTCTACCCTGGGAATCGGTTTAAAATGGGGAATTTCAACGCAGGATGTCTTCGGCATATTGGGATTGCTGTGGAAAGACATTGACATATCCGGTGATGGAGACAGCCAGACCTGCTCCGTCCCACACGCTCCACATGCCAGGGCTGCCAGATGGGCTCGAGGCATAGGCACAAAGACGATGAGCTAAAATAACCATCGAGAAGCTTCAGGCAACAGTCTACACCAAGATCTGCAGCTCACAAAAGCTTCTTTCAACATGCACACTAATGTCACAGTTCATAACCCTGGAGGGAGATTAAGTGAGCAATATATGTGCCACTCAGAAATTACTGACATCCAAGAAGATATCTTGGAGTTCTGGCTGTGCTGCTTCTGATGGTATCATCAGACATGCCTCCAAATCCTCATATTGATCAGATTAAAATGTGTAAAGAAATCCTCATTGCTACATAATGTTGTCTTAGGAACAGCACAACATGCCATATCAAAGAAGGTACCGCAAAAACAAGCATTTGTCAAGCTTAAAGCAAGCCAATACTAAACATTGTAAACTTTTACTAAAACTCATTCAGTTTTATGCACTGGCTCAAGATGTTTTTCCCAACATTTTTGCCCAAGCATTTTAATTTCACTTGATTTCTTCTTGTTCTACATTAAAAGAATGGCTGATGCACCAATTACTCTGAAAGAGCAGTGATTTGTATATAAACGCTAAGGTTTAGGCAGCATGATGTTTAGAGTACGGATACTAATCAGTAAACGGTTGATTAGACTGGGTGTTAACACAGAAGCCAAGCCACATCTGTATTTTGACTTAAAAAGAAAAGAGATGACTTATACAATAATGATATTAAAAGTTTAATCTAGGGTGGGATGCTCTGATACAATGATGTAAATGTTAAAACCAACTCATCAGTCATGGGATCCCACCCCGACTCCTAAAATGACACTGTGTGTGTGTGTGTGTGTGTGTGTGTGTGTGCACGCACATGTATGCGTTTGGGACAAAGAGGCAGATTGTGTTCCTTTACCTCCAGGTCCCCTTTGGTAATGCAGGCTTCTTCCACACGGAACTGAAGGTCCTCCACTTTCCTGTTACACAGCAGGGACATTTCAATGCTTCCGTCCTGCTACAGGTTATCATCAAAACACCCCCAACAACCACAACCCCCACACCACCACCAACCTTTTCTCCTCCTCCAGCTGGTTCAGCAGCTCCACCTTGTCCCTGTCTGCAGCTTCCACCAACACACGCAACTGGTCCATCTTGGCCTCCATCTCCAGCACATACTAAGACATGTAATGGGAATGGGAGGGCTTTAGGGGTGGGCTCCTCATTTTCATCAATGCCCAACTCACACAGACTAATGGCAACCCCACCTGCTCCTGGCCCTCCCTCAGCAGCGTAAGCTCCTGCTCCACCTGGCCCACGTGGCTAGTGGCCTTGGCAACCTCGGCTCGCTCGAGGTCCCGCTCGGCCAGCAACTGCTCGATGTGCTGCTGCTTCTCCTTCAGGGCTTCCTGCAAAGCCGTGGTGCCCGAGATCTTGCGTGCATAGCGAGATGATGTCTCCGTCAGCTGCAGAGGGGCCGCAGAAGACCAAGAGGACTCAAACCCTTCACATTGGAATAACCGTTTAGGCAGTCATAGCTGCAGTTACCAGGGGGAAGTCATAAGGTTCACATGGACGGTACATGCGGACGAGACATCTCACCAGGCCTGTACGGCTGGGCTTGCCGCTGACGGAGGAAGTGACTGAGCTCATGGAGCTGATGGAGGAGGCGCTGGGGCTGCGCTTGAGGGAGGACGGCGTGGCCACGGACTTGCGTGCCGCAGCCGCCTTGGCTTTGGCCGGTGTGGTGGATGGGAAACCAATGCGCGTCACCTTGTGCACTGGGGCAAACAGGCCATACCTGGGCTGGCACTGGAAGTACCTGCAGATATTAGGTATTTCAAAAGCTTAATTACTTTTATTGTTAAAAGTCAATGACTACAGTTAGTGTGTTGGATACTACTAATAAGTGAACATTTGATGCACTGGACCACTATGAAGGCCGACAGCAGCATCATGCTCTTACAGCCCAAACAGGATATAGTGGTCACCTGGTTCCAGCCACCGCCCCGTCATTCTTTCCCAGAGGCTCATCCAGCTCCACGCCACACCACTCGCCCTTGGCAAAGTCTGTCTCACCCAGGAACCGCACCACACCGGCCTTGGTGCCCCCGACCTAAGGAAGGAACAGCAACTCCGTGATCTCCAGGCTCATTGTCATTCACAGGGTCAACTGTGGCGGCAGCACCACAGGCAAACATAATAATAGATTTCAGGCCCTCAATCTTGTCCTGGGGATCTCCAGAACAAGGGCCGAAGGCCTCTGCTCATGTTTCCAATGTGTATATTTAACACTGTGATCTCACTGGTCACATGCAACTGCTGTTTATATATTTTAGGCCTTAGGTCCAGAACCAAGCACTGTTGCATTCTGGTAAGGAAGGAAAGACATTCGATATTTGAGAACTTGTCACATGAACAAAGTGGAAACCAGAGGAAATGAGCTCTAGCTTCTGCAGCCACAGGGCGGGGGAGCGGCTAGCAGGGGGTATGCATGAGGTGGTGGCTTCTAGTCCCATTGCTGCACAGAGGAACAAGACTATGGAGCCAGTGCTGAAGATAAAAGGGAGCACAGGAAGCAGGAGAACACAGAATATTCTAAACTGAGGCAAACTCACATCACCATGCTGTGCAGGAATATTTGTTGTAAATATGCCATGAACACATTCAGCAGGATTATTTTTAAAATTAGAGCATGTTCTTTCTGGTGTGTCTGCAGGGTTCTGAATACAAGAATGTCTACAACCTTACCAGCACGCGATCTCCCATCTTCAGCTCCCGTTCACCCTTCTTAATTGAGCCTGCCTCGGACAGGTTGGAGACAGACTCACTATTGGCCCGTGCCAGGTTGGAGGCTGGATCTGTCGGTGAGGTCTTCTTGGGGGCTGGGACTGGGGCTGATGCTGCGGCTGGGGCAGAGCCCGTGGCAGGAACGGGAGCAGGACTGGCTGCGGAGGCTGGGGCGGTGGTGGCAGCCGGGGCAGCAGAAGTGGGGGAGGCTGCTCTGGAGGGGGGTGCCGTCTGTGCGCCATTGGCCTCGCCCTCTGTACGGGCCAGCTTGGAGGGCCGAGTGAAGATGCCTCGCAGAGGCTCACACTGGAAGTAGCGCACGCCTGCCACTGAGCCATCGTTCTTCCCAATGGGCTCATCCAGCACGATGCCTGCCCACTGGCCAGGCGCAAACTGTGTTTCACCCAGGAACTGCACAAAGCCGGGCTTGTTGCCGTTTACCCACACACGCTCCCCAACCTGGAAGCTCTCTGCTGCATCCTGCGGCTCTGCTGAGGCGGGACTTGCAGACTTTTCGGCCAGAACAGGTTTAGGCACAGCTGCAGAAGGGCCAACAATAAGTCAGTACTTGATGAACAAACTGTTGGTAATGGTAATACCCTGAATAAGGGGCTAACACCATCATTCTTCTTACAACTGCTTGAATAGGAAAATGAAAAGGAATTATTATTATAATGCTGTATTAAAAGGTCCTTCAGTGGTGGGCTGGCATCCATCCAGGGAGAACCACTGCTTTGTGTCCTATGGTGCCTAGGAAAGGCTCCAGGACCCCCCTCCAAGAAAAAAGGATTTCCCTTGTATTTACACTACATTACTGCATGCATCCCCTCATGGCTGAAGCATAATGCCTACTCATAATTCCAGGCTAAGAGTGATGAAATAAGACAAGGCACCTTCTCCAGTGAGAGAGCTCCTTCTCTCATCATAAACATTTAAAGAGACATTACTGGTGCTCTTTTGTCTAGTTTCAGGCTTACACTGATTTGATTGGCCATCAGTGTAATCAGGTATATCAGTTGAGAACTAGTACAGATCACAGAAGAGCTAGACGACTGATTAGCATCGTACACTTTGTACTTTCTGGGTGGAGTGGCAGTGAAAGCTTTAATTTGATGCCAACACAGGCCCGTAGAGCTCAGTGACAAGTTCAGGCCACCAGCAGACCTGTCATGATCATTGTAGCTGCCTCAGTCACTGTAACCACAATTTCCACAGTGATATATATTGGCTAGGGGCTGGGAGGGAGGGAACAGGATATCCTGTGCATTTAATGTAACAGCAATACAGATATCTGCAGAATAAGCAGTACTCACTTAAATTTGTCTTCAGAAGTGATTGTCCAACAAAACACAGAATTACTCACTGCAAACAGTACACAATTACACAGGAATGGGCTTCCATTTTGTACACTAAATAGCAGAGGGACACTATATAGTTACGGAATTCTCCATAGAACATGAATTCTCTGATGAACCCTACAGCTGCCAGCAAATAATAAGGTTTTAGTTCCATGTTGCAACAAGACTCATTCATTCAATGTGGCTCCCCTGCTCCTCAGAGAATTCTTCATCCCTCACACACCAAGGCTATTGTCCAATAACAGAAAGATTCTTTTATTTTTACTAAAACACTGAGAAATTATGTGCTTCAACAAGCAGCCTAAAATGCAATTTCCCATTTAAAGTGAAGACTGTTACTTTGGGTCCATTTGTCCTGTACTGTTTTTATAGCAGAGATCTGCACACTGTTCATTAACTTAAAACACTGGTTAAAAAATTGCCAGACTAAGAACAGGCATCACGTCCCAAACAGCCTAAAGGGAGAGATCTTTACCTGTGGAGGGTGCTGTCTTCGCAGCAGCCACAGCTGGCCTGCCAATCTTGCTGGGCGCTTTCAGCCCACTGGGCTTTGCAGTACTCATGCTTCTTTAAGTTACTAGCCTCTTGTCTGTCAGAGGGCTTCAGCCCGGTCCAACCATGGACTCAGTTCCACTCCACTATGATGTGCTATCCGTCAAAACAAAGTGGAGGAGGGACAAAATGGAAAAACAAAAAAGGACAAGGGGATGGGGGGGAAGGGGATGGCGCCCTGGAAAGAAAATCCTGTAAGGAGAGAAGAAAGGTTTATGAATGACAAAGAACAAGGAAAAAGGAACACAAGTTCAATGGTACAGACAGACCCTTCCCATCAGGAGAGGCCAGGATTGAGAGAGAACCCTAGAACCCAACTGAAACTCATGCTACAACTTGCTAGTCTGACAATTTGCTGGGCCCTGGTCACCCAAACACTTTTATTTGCACATTATTCCACTTTCAGAATATGGGACAGTGCATTACTGCAGAGATCAGCCCAGCTGGCAGAGCTGGCAACCACAGTTTTTGTTCACTGATACATAGGAGGGAGGCTTTAGCCCTCAAATTAGTTAATAGAAAGGACTGCAGTTAACCAGGCTGGCACAGCAGGCTGATAGAACAAGGCGAATGGCTCCGACAGGACAACCTTGTTATTGCATAGCCCTTCTCGGGCAGTGGTTGAATGTAACAAAGTATTTGTACTTCGTTACTGTACTTAAGTACATTTTTACATATTTGTACTTTACTTAAGTAAAAATAATACTGCATACTTTTTATTTTACTCCATTACATTTTGCGGCAATTATCTGTACTTTCTACTGCACTACATTTCTACAATTTATGTCGTTAGTTGTTACATTTCATGAACACAATTTCCTCAAAATCTTGCATGAAAAAATAGTTAGCCTATTGTGATCCTGAATCACAATAGGCTAACTATTGACTGACTTTTAACAATAGATCCTGAATGAGCAGAAGAGGGTGAAAAGAAAATGCACATGCATGAACACGTGAGAAGTATTAACAGCAGCCCAACAGAGAAATTATAGGTCTGTTTAGTGACCTTCTCTTTATGCTCCTCTCCACCCAATGGTCTGAAGTGTGGCTGTAATACATTTGAAAATATTCCCGACACCAGAATGTTATTTAAATTAGCTAAACATTTTACATTTATTTATCATTATATATTTAATCCTTGTATACCACCTTTAGTAACCTGAATGTCAGCTTTACAATTCTCCTGGGGTCATATGATTCATAGTGTGGTCGCTGTTCCCAGTGTATGCCACATACTTTCATCCTCAACAATTCACTACCAAATTTACGGCAAAATTAGTTCTAAATTGTTTTATGGCCATTTATTTTCCAAAAAAGAACACAGTAAAGTGTCTATTTTACATGTGCTTTCAAAGTGCTGTGTTTGAAAACAGCACTCTAACAAAAATGTTTTTTTCCTCCAATATTACATCCTCCAGATTCAAGATTACATAGAAAAACACTGAACTGGACCCTTACGGAGACACAGACACTGATGTCAGCGTATTTTGAGAGGTGGGTGCTCTGCTATACATGTAAATAAACAGGAAGGCATATTTTGCCTGGCAACTATTACCATTATACAATATTTTTATTTGTACATTATTTCAATCATAAAATATGTATAAAATTTTATATTTTTATAACATTAGTTATTTTAAAAAAATGCATAAAGTTACATTTAAGAAAATGTTCTTAGTGTTCAGGGAAGAGTGGTTCACAATTTGTAACTCCGCATTTGTAAATTTGTGGTCCATTTAGAGCTTTTTAAACATCTCTCCAAATATGGAAAGCCACTATATAGTAGGTCATATCTCAATCTTATCAAATTGATATGGACCTGGGATCAAATCAGATTGATCCAAATATGGAAAGCCACTATATAGTAGGTCATATCTCATTCTTATAAAATTGATATGGAATTGGAATCTAATCAAATTGAATTGAAAGCTTGTAAATCGAATCAGATTTGGGCATCTGTGCCAATACCAATGAGCCATTACCTGCTCATCGCTGTGTCAGTATTAGGGGATGTCAGGGTACCTCTGCCAGCACTTCAGTCTGATGAGGAACATGCCAAGATTCCTAAGCATTCCATGTACAGTCGCTATTTAAAGATGCAACTAGTTACTGTAAACACAGATCCCAGAGTGTCTGGGCAGACTGACTAAGCTCTCTAAAAATATGGAGTGAAAAGCTGCTGCTGCCTCGCTCCTCTACTAAAGTATAATCAATATCAGTGCATGCATAGCCTTCTCCAGTATACTACAGTTAAGACAAACAGGCCACCTGCCTTTCATGGATTTAAAATTCCATTATTCCACAGATAGTATGTGGTCCAGCCTCCAGTGCTACTTATGTAGTCCAACCACATTACAAGCATGTCTCACGGGTGTTGTTCAGTTGCACAAATTATCATCTATGGTCATAGTTTGGGCACAGTACCTCAGACAGATAAGTAGGATACAAGAGCAACACACACAATTAAACAAAAAATAAAAAGAATTTTTAAAGTCGCAGCTAATGACAACTATGTAAACATATAATTGTGATGAAATGCAACACTTCAGCAGCATGGTGAGTGAGACAGCAATTCTGAGTCTGATGGGCAGGTTATTCCACCAATGACAGGGAGACAAACCAAACTCTAAAAGAAAGAAGATTGTACCATTACTATACAAGGAAAGCCTGGCTAACATTTTTTTAAGTAGAGATATAATAATCATAATTATAGTTTAGAGCATGCTATACTATTACAACACAGCTGGAAACCACTGCTCCAATAAACAAAGTTCCCACTCCTGCAAGCTACTATTACTACATATGTACTATAAATTCAGAACTTTGTCAAAAAAGAAGCCCCTCCCACAGCAATCCAGTACGATGCTCACCATTTGTTAGAATTGCCAAGAGTTCCTGAAAAACAACAGCAACACATGCAAACTGGCAGGCCTGGTTCACAGGCACACTAAAACTGCACTAGCCTTCAGCCTGACAAACCACAGCACCTGAAATCATGTTAGTGTCCCTGATATTATAACAATAGCCCATTCTGAGTATCTTATTTGCCTTAAGATGATTCATTTGAATAGATACTACAAACAATTTTAAATTGGCAAACACAGTTTATCTTAAATCAAAAGATAGAAAACAAAGGACTGAAAAATGTTGTAAAGCGTAAATGGTAGATGCTTGACAGAGTCATTCTAATGATGCCACGAAACACAATGTTTGGTTTGGTGTAGAGGTCGACCGATATATCGGCCGGCCGATATATCGGGCCGATATTTATCATTTTTTTATGTATCGGCATCGGCCGATATCCGAGTGCACTACGCCGATTTTCAGATAGGCACATCTGCGGGCAGCCCAGTGTTATTGTTGCTGTGGAACACGTGACCCA